AACCTAATTGTTGAAACTTCATTCTCTAATTTCTCCTTTTTTATCTTTCGTTAGATATGTTGAATTCAAAAATGACTTTGGAGAGTTCATTTCCTTTTATCTTTCACTCGACAAGTTGTCGTAGCACTACAATCTGGTTAACTCATTCTTTCTCAAAAAATATAAAAAATCTCCCAATAGGTAAATTTTCGCAAACACTTAAGTAATCACTATATTGGAAAAAGTATTATGAATAAAATATTAGTTGAATATTATTAAAAAAAACAATTGAATATTATTTTAAAAAAAATAAAGGCAACTAAACAAAATATTGGTGTAATGATTTTCCTATCAACATTTCCATCAAATAGGGCCAGATCTAAGTTTAAGGTAATGGGGTCAATTGACCCCACTCATATTTAAAAAACAAAAACTTTTGTGTTTATCTGGCTTACCATAATACTAATATTGAGATGTACTAGGGTAATTTTTAGGCAATTTGGGGTAACTTTTAACTCATTTTGAATAACTTTAAATTAGGTAAGCTTTAATCTAAATAAATAGTGGGATAAGTTTTATATGGGTAAAATAGTTTGAATAATGATTTTTACTCATTATAAAAGAGATAATTATACCAATAAAGCATAGATTACCTTTGTTAATACTATGGAAACTTCCATATATATTATGTTAATTTTTATTTGATTTAAATGTATATTTTGTTCATTTAAAGACAACTTTGTAACGGACGTACATTTTTTATTGTACATCTAATTTCTTAAAAAATTGTTTTAAAAAAACTCTTATTATAAATATTTACAAGATAACGAAATTATGATTTATTTATCATTGTTTTATTTATTGAGAAAGATAATATAGCAATTATAAGTATGTAAGTTTACGTAATTTGTTAATTTATAGATAATTTAATATAATTTGCTTTATGTTGATTTGAACCCATTTATAAAAAATTTCTAAATTCAACATTACCATCAAATCTAAATAATATGATTTTTTTTTTTGAAAGAAATCTAAATAATTGATATCATTCTTAATTTCTTTACTCCTTTTTCAAATGTCAATTTGATTACACGTGAAGCAACTCTTATTTCGGATTCGATTGGAGAAATGACAAAAACGTAACATGATAAAGATAAACCCTACCACTAGAGACGACTAGGATAATTCCTCCACATTGAATTTGATACTTATTTTTCCCAAAAGCTCTGTCGAAATAGATTAGGAAAATTGTTATTATTAATCCCAACTTTGGGTCATTTTCTTTGATTAATCCCAACTTTCCATTATTATTGAATAATCCCAACTTTGGGGGGCATTTTCTTCTATCAGGCCAAATGATCGGTGACCTGATGAAGGGGTAATTTTTGTTTTTTAATTTTTTTTAAATGCCACATGTCTTATTATTATTGGTTAAAAAATTATAGGAAAGAAAAACAAAAAACAAAATAAAACAAAGCCACCATTACCAACCTCCTGCCCCCACCGGCCGGCCTCAAAGCCAGTTCCCGGCGGCACCTTCGCCCTTCATTCATCGGTTCCCAGACGTATCTCCACCCTTCGGCGGTGCCTAGGCACGCCTCCGCCTTTCAATTCACCGTTTCCCAGACGCATCTCTGCCCTTCACCGGTGCCTAGGCGCACCCCCACCCTCCTCTCTGACACTGATCTCCCTCCCCAACTCACGAAAACCGCCGATTTCCCTCCCCCACTCACAAAAACCACCGATCTCCCTCCTCCACTCACGAAAATCGCCATGAAAACCACCGTTTGGTGGTTTTCATGAGTGGGGGAGGGAGTCGGAGTGGTTGTGTGCGACGCAAGGGTTGGTTATTAGGGTTAGGTGGAGGGGCAATGCTAGTGGTGGGGGTGGGATGGTGGCCCGGCGAGGGAGGAGATGTGACTAGGCGGTCAGGGTGGGGGTTAGGGTGGTCAGTGAACGGAAGGAGAGAGGTTTTCATTTCTTTTATTTTTTGTAATTTTTAATTTTTTTTTAAATTTTTTGGACCAATCAGGGTTTGACACGTGTCAAGTTACCTGTTACAATAAGTCATTGACTTTTATTGACCGGTCATGACCTGATAGAAGAAAAATGCCCCCCAAAGTTGGGATTATTTAATAATAATGGAAAGTTAGGATTAATCAAAGTAAATGACCCAAAGTTGGGATTAATAATAACAAATTTTCCAATAGATTACTACCCAATCGTTTTTCCGGATTTTTACGGTTTAGAATTTAAATGGATAGGATAGCTTTGTGGTAAAGGTTTGAAATTTTGAAATAAAGGAGAGGTTTTATGGAACCATTCTGTTGAATTTTAATATACCCAAAAACAAATTCTTAAAGCTAGGAAACGGACTATTAGTTTGACGGAATTTTTAACATCTACTCCCTCCGTGTTTAAATAAATGAAACGTATTCCTTTTCCTACCGTGTTTAAATAAATGAAACATTTTTTTAGTAACTTATCTTTATTTTTTATAATAATATTCTCTCTACTTTTTAATAACATTCTACTAACTAATGGTCCCCACAAAACCCCTTACTCTCTTCTCTTTCCTCAACTTATACCCAACTACCTATTATTCTAATAAATTCAACTAACCTTCCTAAAACTCCGTGAAAGTCATAACGTTTCATTTATTTAAAAATGGAGGGAATACGACATTTTTAGTCGGAGAAAATCTTAACATTTATAGGTAACGCAACCTAAAGTGTGGCATAAGTGCTAAGATAACTTTTAAGAAAAATTGAAATTAACAATTCCACCTTTGACACTTTTGCTTAAAATAATCCCACCTTTGAGTAATCTAGAAATAATCTCACATTTAACCCTCATCTTCCCTAAACAGTCCTTTGACCGGGTTTTTTAAGTTGGTAACCGATTCTATGGGTTGTCGTGCCACGTGTCACTTTTTAATGGGCTTTTTTAATAATTAATAATTAAAACAAAATATTTAAAACAAAAAATTAAAAACTAAAGTCAGCCCCTTCCTCTTCCCTAATCCCCACCTGAACCAGCGCGCCACCCCATTCCCGTCCTAGTTCGTCGGATTCTAATCTACCCCCTCGCCAAACAGTCACCAATCCAGAAGATTTCTCCCTTCGATTAAATCAAATCAAGCACACCCTTATAGAATCAAATTGGAAATACTATAAATTGAACCAAAACCCACCACAAATTTTACATATTTCAATTCTCAAATTGTAGAATTAGAATCTTAAGAAAAAAAAACTTTACATATTCCTAATATTACACCATATTAAGGCCCATTAATAAGTACCAGTATCCACTCATGTTCCTCAAATATTTGAAAGGGAAATTTGTTAAATTATTGCAGGTATTAAATCGTTCCACGTACATTTGGCGTAGTATCAGTGGATTTATGCGGGTTTTGGAACGGGGGTGATGTTCAATTTAGAAGTTGGCACATGGGTTTTGGGATGGGGATAGGGTTTCAGGATGGGATTTCGAGGTGGAGGAATCTAGCAGTCATGTGAAATGAGAATTTGAGGTCGAGGGGCTGGGATGGGCTAGGCTGCCGGAGAAGGGGGTATGGTTGCTGAAATAGGGAAAGAAGGTTTTTTTTTTTTTTTTTTTTGGGTGGTGGTTATGGAAGTGGTGGCTGTGTTGTTTTAGAAAAAAAATAATAAAATAACTTCTTAAACAAGTTGTAGGTAAACGAGACTGATTTAGGAAAATGAAGGTTAAAAATGAGATTGTTTCCAGATTATTCAAAAATTGGATTGTTTTGAGTAGAAATGCGAAAGGTGAGATTATTGGTTTCAATTTTTCCTAACTTTTACTCCCTCTGTTTTTTTTTTAAAATAATTTATAAAAGTAGATATTATGACAATCCAACAACATATTATATGATCATATTTATATAGTATATATTGATAAAAAAAAATTAAGTTAATGATAATTTATAAATTGTGAAATTTTCCAACTCTACCTTATAAAAACAAGTGGATTTCTAAACATCGCCCGCAAATCTCCACATAAAGCCCACAAACTTATATTGAAGTTACAATATTGCCCTTGACCTTAAAAAAAAACACAACCTCAATAAAAATCAAAGTACGGGGATGTCGAGGCTCGTGGCGGCAAGGTGGTTGGCTCGTGGCGGCAAGGTAGTGGTGGCTCGTGGCGGCAAGGTGGTGGTGGCGCCAGGTCCGGCAGCCACGTCCACCGGCCTGGCGTCTGGGCAGGACGCCCAGCCACGGTGAGTGGCGTTTGGGGCAGGCGCCAGTCACTGTGGCTGGGCGTCCTGCCCAGACGCCAGGCCGGTGGACGTGGCTGCCGGACCTGGCGCCACCACCAGCCACGGGTCGTCCTGGCCAGGCGCCCCAGTTGCCTTAAATTTTTTTTGGAAAATCAGAAAATTTTTCTAATTTTTTTTTAATGTGTTTGATTTTTTTTAATAATTATTAATTTTATGTGTTATTTTTTATAAGTCTAGTATATATATTTTTTATACAATCAAATAAAAAACATAAATTTCCACATCCTAAATCAAAACATAAATTTAATAAACATAATTAAAAAAAAAAGGCAAAAAAAAAATAAATTAAAAAGTAAGGGCGGCGTCCAAACCAGACGCCAGTGCACTGGTGGTGGCGTCTGGCCTGGACGCCAGTGCACTGGTTGAGGCGCCTGGGCTAGACGCCAGTGCACTGGTTGTGGCGTCTGGCCTGGACGCCAGTGCACTGGTTGTGGCGCCTTGCCTGGACGTCCTTGCCATGGTTCCGGCGTCCAAACTAGGCGCCACCTCGTTTTCCGTCGAAGACGACGTATCTTCGGCGACCCTCGCCTCTCCGGCCTCCCTGGGCAACCCAGTACGACTCCACATTTGTTAGATCGAGATTTGTTCACTTTGGGTACGATTTTAGAAATGGGCAAAATTGTCAAACCATGTCTAATTTGTGGGCTTTATGTGGAGATTTGCGGGCGATGTTTAACAAATCCCAAAAACAAAGGAAGGGACTAATGGTTAACTTTTACCCCAATATGGTCTATTGGCTTCGACTCTTCGAGTACTCCAATTCGCTCCTCCTTCCTTATCTTAGTTATCTCAGTTATGTAAAACGACAAAATGTGAACCTCCATAGACCAAAAACAAAAGCCAATCAAAGACCTCCTTCAAACTCACTCATATTCATTCATCATCTTCACTTCCTTCAATCTCTGATCATACTCCAAAACCCTAAAATCCGCCATGGAAGCAGCTTCTTGCTCTTTACAAGTGTACCAAGTCTCACTCTCTCCAATTCGCTCTTCACCTCGCTTACTCACTTCCTTCTCTCGAATTTCTTTCTCTTCCAACTATAAATTCAATCTCAACTCCTCATTTCGCGTCATTCGGCTCAAAAAACACTGCTCAATTTCAAGTAGATCTGACATTTTCGTCACTCAAGGAGCGTCGAAAGAAAATGGGAAGCGTATTGAAGAAGATGCGGAGGAGAGAGAATTTGACTTGAAATCTTGGATGCATTCTAATGGTTTACCTCCTTGTAAAGTTGTTCTTAAGGAAAAACCCTCACATAATTCTAATCACAGGGCAATTCATTATGTTGCAGCTAGTGAGGAACTTCAGGTTTGATTTTTTGATTTTTTATATTTTGATTTTTGGTATTTTTTGTTATAATTTACAGTTGCTTTTGATGAATGAATATAATTTAACCTCTTTGGCAGGCTGGTGATACTGCATTTTCGGTTCCGAATTCGTTGGTTGTCACACTCGAGAAGGTCTTGGGTAACGAAATTGTTGGTAAGCTGCATTTTCAGTTCTGAATTCATTGGTATTGCATTCGTCTAGGAAATTATATCTGTGAAACAATTTCATATGCTATGGGATGTGTACGGTGTTCTAAATATTGTATGTACAATTGTTTTTATTTATTTTTAGCTATTAAAATTGGGAATCACAATTTCAATTTATTTTGTGTATGTACCTTTGTCAATTTTATTATTTTTAGTTTTTTACTAGTGTGTGCGCATGCTAATGCATGGTATATATAATGTAGAAAGCTTAAAGTTTACTTATAGAAATATTGTGGGGATTAAGTATGACATTGTAATAATACTAATAAAATATTGTAATAATTAGTACTTTGAAAATGAAATTGTAACTGCACTGATTTCTTAGCTAGTGGCCATACGAACTGAAGGCTCATCAAATTACTTGCCTCTTCTCAATGTCCTTTCTCCATAGTTGTTAGTTCTCATCTTCTCAACACCTCTATAGCTGTGTGAAAGTTTAGTTGTTAAATTCTTTGTTTTCATACCCGAGTTCAAATGTATACTATGTAGTACAAGGACCTTAACGGTGTGTTTGGATTGAAGGAAATGGAGGGAAAGGAAGGGAAGAGAAATGGAGAGATGGGGTATCTTTCATTTGGATAACAAATGAGGAAGGAAGAGAATTGGAGGGGAGAAAAATGGAGGGAATAAATTGTAGGAAATTGATCCTTCCAACAATGGAGAGATTTGGAAGAAAAACTCACCATTCTTCCCTCCCCTCCCCTTCTCATCCCTCCCCTTTTTTTCTTCCCTTTTCTTTATCCAAACACACTGTAAGTCTTCAAATCTACATCTCTAAGGACTCTAACTTTCAATTAAACAAATATGTTAACAGGTATATGGGATTGAAATATACTCACGATGACTTTACTGTAGTGTAATCTTAAAATATGAAAAAAAGGAGTAACCTATACTATATAGATAGAGGAGTCAATATTATAACTTCTAACCATATTTGTCCAAAACTTCAATACTTAAATTCTACGCACTTTAACTTTTATTTAAAAAGTAAGATATAAAACGATCTATTTATTTTCTTCTCTTTTCTGGCATATGGTAGTGCATTAGCATAAATACATTCCAATTTTCATCAAAATCAAAAGCAAACTAAGAAAATTCCTTTTTTCATAGAAACTTATGGTGCTAGAATTTACACTTCCTCCGTCCCATTTTAATTGCTTAGTTTGAAATTTTCCCCTATTTACACACAGTTTTTGCACCGTCTTTAGTGATTCATAATCCAGGAAAAGTATAGTTAGGCGTGATCTTGTTAAATTGTTCTCATTATGGACTTTTAAATATTAACTTTTTATATCCTTTGTATATATCTCCTTAGATAGATCAAATGAATTTCAAGTTTATTTAACAATTTAAATTTCTTTTATTAGGTGCAAATGTGAAATTGTTTTAAAAATGCAGAAAAAGAAAACAAAGTACTTGTATAATGAATCAAATTAAAGTGTAATTGTGAACCTGAAATTAGTTGAGAAAATTATGACATTTACCATACTTATTAGCGCCACTTACCATGATAATCGTGGACCATAGAAAGCAAATCCAGAAAGCAACATCCAAGAACCAAGATCTGTAAATATGAAAGTAATACACCGGTGATTATTGAAGAAAACCATATGATAAAATTAGCTACAAGAACCACACAATAACATGGTAAAAAAATATTTAAATATACACCTAAATCTTCATCATATTGGTTAGATGATGACAATGAGTATATGACAGAAGGTAAATTTAATTGGGGATCAACTGAAATTAGCGTTGAACTAATGCCTCTGCTCCTTCCTGCAACTTGTGTGGTTAAATTTGTGAAATTGAGATGTAAAAAGGGGAAGGATAGAGGGAAGTAAAAAGGGGAAGGATAGATGGAAATGTGGCAACTTTGGGGAAGATTTTGGTATGTGTCAGTTTTGGATAACGGTTTTGAATGAAGCAGTTTTGGAAAACAAACTTAAATTTTAGGCGAGTGTGCAAAAAGGAGCAAGATCGGGGTTTTGGAAGTTTCACCATAAAATAGACATTTTTGTTATTGTATAGATATCTCTTTGGGATTTCACTTTATAACGTTGCTGTTTTTTGTCCACTATGTTGTTTCTCATTCTTTATGCCAATTCATGTTAGCCGACTCCAAATCATTTCGGGACTAAGGCGGCTTTGTTGTTGTTGACCAACTCATGTAATTTGGTATAGAATGAAAAACAAATAAGGCTTAGTACATTTACTTTCCATGGTCTGAATTATTCTAGACTTGCATTTTTTTTTTTAAAAATAACTCTATGAAATTTTCTTCAAGATGTAAAATTTGAAGCTAGCTTTGTATGATGCTGGGTCTTTTTGACAGTTACATCAAAAATTCAAAACCTGGTCTTTCTCATTTTAAAGACTGTTGTACCACTAGGGGTACCATGTGATGATGCTTACTAGATAAGGTGCTTTTTATTTACTATTTCAATCAGATGCTACATAAATATGTCCAAGCTAATTTATCTGGTTTACTGTGCTATTGGCCGTGCTATTTGCTTACAGACATGTGCCTTTCATGATATGGCAACAAATCAAACTGAGTCTAACTTGCTTCAGCTTCTTCAACTTGTGTGCAGCGGAACTTTTGGCTTCAAACAAATTGTCAGAGTTAGCTTGCTTGGCATTATATTTGATGTATGAAAAGAAGCAGGGTAAAAAGTCTTTTTGGTATCCATATATCAGAGAGCTTGATCGGCAGAGAGGTAGGGGACAACTTGCCGTGGAGTCTCCTCTTCTTTGGTCAAAGAGTGAACTCTCTTATCTTTCTGGCAGTCCTGTCCTGGTAATAAAGAAACTGTGCTTTGTTTGTTTCGTGATAGCGTATTTCGGTTGATAATATTGTTGACTATAAAACTCTTGTTTTGATGGTTTGCAGGCTGAAATTATGGTAAGGGACGAGGGAATAAAAAAGGAGTATGATGAGCTCGACACAGTATGGTTTATGGCAGGATCGCTTTTTCAGGTGACTTTCTTTGTCTGTTTTAGGAAATAGACATCATCATTTACTCTTATATAATTCATAATAGTAATGTGCATAAGTTTCTTTTAACAAAACATTTATGTTGATTTTACTTATCAATATGGTATAGTTCAGCTAGTATTATCACTGCTTTTTGTACTCAAGCAGCTAGTGTGTATTCTGAGATTTTATTGACAATGATTCTACATAATTGACAAACTAGTTTGTGTTATATATTGTGGTAGATGACTCTTGAATGAAGCTGTAGTATGACATTTCTTAATCAGTGCATTCTACAGAATTATGTGTGTACTTCCATTTCAAAATTATAAGCTACATTCATTTTTTGATGTCAAAGGTAAGTTACCTTTGGCAATCAACTTCTCAAATAACTTGCAACACATAAACATTTGAGATTTATAATGATAGATATTTTCATTGTAAACTTTTGATCGATTTCTTTTAGTAATATTGTTAGCAGATTTGGGTTGGTTCTACTTCGAGTCCCTTTGGGCTATTATGGGATGGAGACCATTGCTTGATCCTGACCTTTTACTCCCATGTTTAGCTTCAGCTGGACTAATAGCTAGGCTTCCTCCGTTTTTATCTCTGACTATGATAGTAAGGTTCTATTTGTATCCATAATAATAAAAAAAAAAAAAGACAAAACCATAACCGCTCTCCCTCTCCTCTCTTGGTTTTTCAAAAACTCAAACTTCTCTAGGCTGTTGGAAACTTAGCTATTTCTGACCCTTTCTCTTTAAATTTTGCATGTTCTTGTATTTTAATTTCAATAAAACTACATTGTTTTAATGCAATGAGTTCCTCTGTTGGTGGGATTTGTTGTGTATGAGTGTGAGTATGAGTTTAGTTTAGTAATGGTGGAGTACTCTAAATTTGGTTTGATGAAAAAGAATTATATGATATCGCAAGAGTTCAATACAAGTAGATGAATTAGATGGAAATTATCCTCGTGACTAGAATAGATCATTAGATTGTCTCTCTGAAAAGGTTTATATTCAACAATTGTAGTCTTGAAGAGTTGAAGTAGGTAATCTTAATTCGATTCGTATTGTTATGCTTTTGTTATTTTTATATCTCTTTTGTAGATGCTGTATAAAAGCTATGTTCTCTCAAAAGTTTCAGCAAACATAGTTAAGTAAATACAAGCTAAAAGAATAAGGTTACCAAAAATAAGTTAGCTTCTGCAAAAATAAGTGTATTTTAGGCAAAAATAAGTTATGTTCAACATAGATAAATTGCCCCAAAATTTACTCTAATGCAAAAGCCAAAACTTAACTTATTAGAGAGTAATTATCAATTCAAGATCTTAAATAAACAAAATTTACAAGCAAAACACATTAATAAGTTGCAGTTGGACTAAGGGTTGTTTGGTTCACAAGATTCGGGAAAGGGAAACAATAGAAAAGTAATATGAAGGGTTATGGATCAGGATAGATTTACCGATAGCCTGTAGGTGATGATCAGCAATAATGGTCAATGTTAGCAATGTTTTTGACTACAGAAGTCCAATTTAACTGATTATTTTGGGATAACGAGAGCAATTTGAAGCCTATCTTTCTCTTTTACCCCCCTTCCAATTGTTAATTGCTAGGAATCATGATTTATCATCCTTTCTTTCTATATCTTTATTCTTTTTATTTAGTTATGTGTTTATTTTTTGTTGTTGCCATTTTACAGCAATATCCTTATGACATTCCCACCGAGGCTTTTCCTTTTGAGATCTTTAAGCAAGCGTTTGTTGCTGTTCAGTCTTGTGTGGTGCATTTACAGGTAAGTTTAGTACAAGGACATATTGACATTTGCTATCATTTATAAATCATTTGAATGTCTTTTCCATCTATAACTTGTAAGTAGACCATATTGTTAAACAAGTGGCATTTCAGTCTATAAAAATTGTGGTTGCTTGCATATGTCATGTGCTATCTTTGAGTGTCTTAACATAGGAAATTGCTGTAAATGCCCACTTGTCACATAACTAGTTTTTTTCTTCAGTATTCTAACGTAAGTTCTGTCTGCTACTGGACTCTTAGGGTTACACAAGTTATTCGTCTTTTTAGTGCTCATTTTATCACCTTTTCTGTGTTCTCAAGCTGTTTTTCTAGTCTTTCAAATGTATATTACCAGAGTATTGCAAATCTCTTTTTTTTTTTTTTTTTTCCTTCTCTTTTCTGGAAAGACCTCTCTTCAGTTGCTTGGAGTTCTATGGTGAAGAGATAGTTTGTAGCCCCATGATACCTAGTGTAGTCAGGGTGAAGTCTTGTTCGTATGATGAGATTGAAGGGGGATAAGCTCCTGGTGTAGATGGTATGTCTTTTAAGATGTCAGGTTTGTTGGGAAGAGGATAGTATGATGAAAACTGAGATTGTTAAGGAGTGTTTTCTATACTTATGATGACTTTATAAATCTATGTTTCCTGAGTATCAACTCTACCTTTTTTAGAGGGCGTTTGGTTCATAAATTTTAGGTATGAGGTATGGGCAGACCTAATACCTAATGTTTGTTTTAGAAACTTTCAATTTCTAAACCCATACCTCATACCCAAATGGTATGGGATTTAGAGACTCAAGAGAGGGGGGGGGGGTGGTGTGGCTCTAACTCTAATAGTATATCAACATCTGGATGGCGTGAGTTCTTGTACAAATAGTCAAATAGCCTTTTTTTCTTAAAATTCTCTTTTTAGAGGAAAATATGTCAATTACAACCGGTACCCATTTTGCTGGTTACAACCATCAAAGTTTATTTTTGCAAATTACAACCTAAAAAGTCACCAAACATTTTAAACTACAACCAAAATCCGAATTTTTGGCCACTTTTACCGGAATGTGAAGTCATTAATCATTAATTGATATAAAATAACCCAAAGCTAATACTAGTTTAGAATCATTTATTGATTAATGACCTCATGTTTCGGTGAAAGTGGCCAAAAATCGGATTTTTGTTGCAATTTGCAAAAATAAACTTTGATGGTTGTAACTCGCAAAATGGGCTTTTTACCGGTTGCAATTGGCAAATTTTCCTTTTTTAAAAAATACCCCTTATTTTCCTCGAGTTTTATGATTGCCGATTAATTTCGCTAAATTATACTTTAAGCTGTAGTGACCAATTTGGTTATAGATTTACTACTTTGCTGCAGAAATGATTACAAATAATTTCTAGTTCCCAGGGAGCGGGATTGTTTGCTTGTTCTATGAGAGTAAATATTCCTGTAGTATGCTGATGCCTGCTTATGCTTTTCTTAGAGTCATGTTCTTATTTGCTAAACTTATACTACCTCTATTAAAATGTTCTAGTCACTTACTATAGATATGCAATTTAAGAAATTGTTGAATAATGTGAGTGGGTGTAAGATAAAGTAAAGAGAAAGTGTAAAAAGGTGGGTTTGTGTAAGAAACAGGTGAATAAAGTAAGAGAGAGAGAGAGTATAGAATAAAGTAATTATTGTGGGGTTATTGTCCTTATAGAGGTAGATGGTATAAATGAGTATGTCATAAATAGAATAAGGCAAAGTAAGTACATAAAAGAATGGCATAAAATGTAAAGTGAGTAGAACAAAAAAGAACGGAGGGAGTATGATAAGTAAATGCTTTTTCTTGACTTTTGTTTTGCTGCTTCATTTGTTGATGTATGACACTTTGCATTCCATTTATAAAAATGCTTAAATAGATAATATACCTGAAATTTCCCCCTTTTTTAAAAAAAAATTTATTATAATTTTTTTTTAATCTATGATAGGGAGTGAGCTTGGCACGCAGATTTGCTTTGGTGCCGTTGGGCCCCCCACTTTTAGCTTATAAAAGTACCTGCAGGGCAATGTTAACTGCTGTAGACGATGCTGTGCATTTGGTGGTTGACCGACCTTACAAGGATGGAGAACCTATTGTTGTCTGGTATATATATGTACTCTTATGCTTTCTTGGAACAAGGATTTCCCTTTATGTAATTACATTCTTTATGCTGTTTCTTGAAAGTGTTTGAAATTAGGCTTCATGGATATGGTTATTTCTGTTGCACAAGGAATCACGGAATCAGGCGACCATGTTTGTTAACATACTTGCATGAATGAGATTGTAACCCATCATGTCACCTTCTTTCTAAACTTTGTGAAGCAGCACATTAAAGGCAGCTCTATCTCTTATAGTCATATTACCCATTGTTCGCTCAAAAAATCTCTTGCATATCTTTCTGTTTCGTGTGTACATATTTTAGCTTCTACTCTTCCATGAAATTTCTCCTGAAAATTTGTTGAAATTGCTAAAAATATGTACCCTTGTGTTATTTCAAAAAAAAAAAAAAAAAGACCCATGTGTCATCTGTACACCAGAAAACTTATCAAAATTGAATAAGTTAAAAAATTGGTTGGCATGGAGAAAGTAGTGAGAAACAGCATGTTAAGTTTTAATTTCCCACTGCAGTTTTGTTACAAACAGCCATCCAGTGTATAAAAAGGCATGCCACTGAGGTGCAAGATGACATGGTCCATGCACATTTTTTAAAGGCAAGGCGCACAGCTTTTTTTACCAAAATTTTTATCACTTTTTTTTTTATTTTTAAAAAATGAAGTACGCTTCACTTCAATGAGGCTCACTGAGGCACAGGGAAATCCATATTGCCTTGTTGTGCTTTGAGTTTTCTTATACACCATAGTCCTTTGCTGATTGTCTGAGGTGATTATTTCCCTACCCTTTGCTGGAAGACGTAATAAAAAATTATTTTGTAAAAAACTAAGATTCAACCTAGTTTTTTTACCTCCTTTTTTTGTCTCTTTCTTTGTCTCCTAACTCATGCAACTACATTTTCTATCTTATTATTGTGATATGTTTGACATGTGCCAGGTGTGGGCCGCAGCCCAATTCCAAGTTGCTAATTAATTATGGTTTCGTTGACGAAGATAATCCCTATGACCGTATTGTGGTTGAGGTAAAATTAGCTAGTAGCTTTCTTACGGTACACTATCTTCTTCAGCAACAATTCTTTACATTGCTAATTAATTACGTATTCTTTAGGCTGCTTTAAGCACAGAGGATCCACAATATCAGGAGAAGAGAATGGTTGCCCAACGTAATGGAAAATTATCTCAGCAAAGTTTTCATGTAAGGACTCATTCTTTCAGTAGGGATGAACCTTTTCAGATCAAATTCCCTTGTCTGAAATTTACTATAGGAAAACTTAAAATTTATGATACCTAGTATCCTTAAAATATTCAGCTATGCGATATTGAACATTTCTGGATATTTACTATTTAACTTTTTTTTAGTGGCTTGTGAAAATTTTAATCTGTTCGTCAATTATAATTAGCATCCTAAGTTAGAAGCCAAATGACAGATACTAAACAAAAACTTCTTAAATTTTTGTACAAGGAACGTAAATTTTGCATTTGCACTACAGAAACCAAGCTGCTGTTTGGTTGCATTTAATTAAAACTCTTTTTACAATTAAAAATGCTTTAGTTGAATTTCAAGGTGGGAGAAGAAGATGCTGAAAGTAGTTTTTCTAATACGGATTTTTTATAAGGAAATGTATGGGCAGGTAAGATTTTTAATTATGAGAGGGCAGTGGTGGAAGGATGAAAAGCTTCTTGGGTCTTCTGAAGTCATTTCGTTCCGGAACTGACTTGATTTTGCATTTGAAATGACATGTTACCTTTTTCTCCTGTTAATTCCAGAAACACTGCAGTTGTGTTGGTTAAAGTTTTCAGAAATCTGATGTCTATATTTCAGTTATTGAAATTCCAATATCGTGAAACTTAATGACCGAATTGATGTTCTATATAACTTCTTTTGGATCTCACCATGAATGCTTATTTGTTGAAATTATAGAAGACCTAGCAAGATTATCGATTCAAATTCACCAATAGGCATCCGATCCTATCGAATTCTAAATTCTGCTATTCCCAAAAACCGAATGCTATTGAAGTTGAGAATTCATAACTAAAGTTATTCATTTACCTGATTAAATTTGATCAGATTTTACTGAAGTTCAAGTGGACAAAATTTACCTCTCTTTATAATCTCATACTATTTTTAATACTAGTAAATCTTTTAAAATACGAATCTGATTCTATTTTGTCTCCTCTTCATATTATCAAATTTTTTTACTTTTGTCGTATTTACTTTTTCAAATAGAAGTATTATTTATGTGTAAGTTTTAATTATGTCTCCCTTGTATTTTTAAGGTTTAATTCCTTTAGTATACCATTATGGCATCAGAGTTAACTGGATGAGACTTGAAACCGAATTAGTTCATATCCAATAAAGCAACATCTGCTTCATTTTAACTTGGTCAAACCTGATTACCTGAGCCAGGTACTTGCATGACCTGAAATCACCTGAATCCGCAGCAATACATTACTGCTGTGACGTGACCTGTTTGCAATCTGGTCTGCCTAATTGCCACCTTTACTGACAATAGGGTTGTCATTTTCTCAATTTGTGTTGCAGGTCCATGTGGGGAAGGAAAAAGAAGCAGTTGCTGACATGCTTCCATATTTGAGACTTGGTTATCTTTCAGATCCTGCAGAGATGCAATCTGTTATCACTTCTCAGGGGCCAGTATGTCCCGTGAGTTGACTATCTTACTGTTATGTCCTGGAATCTAAACTTTAGAGCATCCACATCTATTAGGCTCTCCATAATTTCTCTCTCCTCACCTTATTAGTCCACATCACTTTCCACTAACTTTATTACATACCCCTCCCTTTTCACAATTCCATACATACATTCATTAACCTCCCCATTTACTTTCTCTCTCCTATTTTTCCATACCCCACCACCTTTTCTCCCTCCTATTTTCCATACCTCACTAATATTAACAAAACAATTTATAGTGTAAAATGGGACCACTTTACTTTTGGGAGGGTTCCAATATTATTAACCTCCCCAAATTAAAGTGATGGATGGAAAGCTAGTACCAATGGTGGGAAGGTCCCCACTTTTACTTTTTGTCAAATGGGGAGCTAAATTTCTAACCAATGTAGATGCTCTTACTATGTTGATACTTTGGTGGTAGTTTCTTCAATTTTTTAGTCACATACATGCTTTGTAGGTTTTTTTTGTTTGTCTGTAGATACACCACATATCTGCTTGTCTGTATTCTACCCCATAGTTCTGGTCAAATTTTGGAGGAGTCATGCTTTATGTATCTTGATACATTCTTGAGTTAGTGTGTAAAGGTCAAAGAATTATGGATACCTTTAATACTTACATCTCCTGTATGGTTGTCCTTGTGAATTAGCCCAATCTAGATAGCTTCTTTACGGTAGTTTCTTTCTGTTACTCTGATTGTTGAATTGCTTAAGTTTGTGGCTTAATCTGTAATTCTCTATAATATTGCAATTATTACTAGGAGAGTCTATGTTGCTCTCAGTGTATACTCCCTCCGTTTTTTTTTTTTTTTTTATTTTTTTTATTTTTTTTATTTTTTTTTTTATTTTTTTTTTAATTTGCATCACTTGCCTTAAATGGGTGTTTTTTTTAATTGCATCACTTCCTTATATAATAACTTTATACTATATTTTATTATTTCTCTCACCTACTTTAAACCCCACTCAAATTTATTTATCATTTCTCTCTCTTATGGTCCTCACTACTCTCTCACATACTTTCACTTTCATGGTTCCCACATTACTTTTACTATAATAAATTATTCATCCACTCACATTATTATATTATAACAAATTCACTTTCCTAAAACTCCGTGCATTTGCAAGTGATGCAAATAAAAAAAATGGATGGAGTAAATTCTAAAGCTTGATATAATGCCCTAATCTTTGCAAGAATGCAAGCCATCATTAAAGGGGATTTCAACAAGGATTTTAGTTGTGAAATAGAATGAGTCTATGCTTATTCCATTGCCGTTTTTCTTGTTTTACTTGTACTGCTGTTTAACTTAATTGAGTTGTTAATTGCCAATTTTTGAAGGCTTTATTGTTTGACCTTATGAAATAGAAGTGAATAATTTCAGCTTTGTCGTTGCAGATTTAAAAGAAATTGCACTTTGGTGACCTATGCTTTCAATGTATTCATTCTGAGGGCTGGTGTTAGAGTTCTTGTTCATTTTGGCGTCCTATTGTTACCCCAATGCTTAAATAACTAGGCATGTATCATAAATTACTTATTAGATGAATGACATTTATCCCAGACGAACCTCACCTAGCCTAAGTCCCTAAAAACTTTTTCTTCCAAGACACATTTTTCTCAATTACTAGTTCAAAACATTTGTCTAATTATTTAAGAGGAGTTGTTAACTGTAAATTATCGAAGTGAACAAGAATTTTTTATGTCAGATTACTCAAAAGTAACCCAAGTCACCAAAGTGCAATTTTATCAGAAAATTGGCACCAAAGTGAGAAATTTTCTATTTTCAAATTTACATTTGTTTCTGCGTTATCTGAATTTATGTGTATGGTTTCCCTTCAAAGTATCAAGCCTCACTTCATCTATGGTGATTCTTCCTTGGTTGAGCTAGAAAAGCGGTTTTTATAGAAATGAAAGTGTGCCTCTCTTTTAGACTGGACATACTTAAGTAGTAACTTCTATGCTCTTAGTCTAATAAAACCTAGTCTGATTCACGTTGCAAAGCCAATTCTTTTGCCTTTTAAAGCTAACTTATTATATCCTCATCTGTAAACAATCACAGCCTAGTGCTACACCGCTTTTGCCTTTATTTGACACTGTGAATATTGGATTGAATCAACTTCCGCTATGTTTGAATGAGCTGAAAGTGAAAGAGGGTTTTCCAGTGAAACAAACTCTTTAATTCCACATATTCACTTCTCTTTGTTATGTTCTTTCATTCATAGAACCCATGCTGTTTTTGGAAAGCTTTCGCCCCCTCCTTAAAAAGTTAAAAATAAGAAGAATGGGCATTGTTGGGAAGGAGTTGTTTTTTAGAATTCTTCCCTTTTACGCATCCTAAAGAGATTATGACATGAAGAATGATGCTTGATTAAATGAGCGTTTGGAAAGAGTTGTTTCACAGAACAACACCCCCCCCCCCTATTTGTTCTGAAGAGATTATGACATTCCAAAGACACCTCATTGTGGGATGAAGACTGTAACCTCAGTAGCTCAATGCTCTATAAGAGGCTTCCTTGTGGCCGCTTATTTCTTTGAAATAAATGATCAAGGCAATTTATTGTTTTTCCCCAAATGAATTGTCGGCCTTGCACCATTGGGATACTTCAATAGGAGGCGTGGGTTTTAGTGGTTAAAAAACTCATAAAATATTCTGGTATTGTGTAAAAGGATTATCATTGCAATTAGTGGAACTGAAGCTAGTTTATAGAATAGCTGAAGTGATATGACACTGCACTGTTATCTAATTAAACATAAAACAAAATAAATTATTGCAGGTGAGTCCTTGCGTTGAAAGAGCTGTTCTGGACCAGCTTTTGGATTATTTCAAGGAAAGACTTTCTGGCTACTCTACCACATTAATGGAGGATGATGCCTTGGTACTCTCCTGTTCTCTCTATTTCAGTATGAAATGATTCACTGTGAAGCTTTATATGACAAGGGTTAATAATTTAGTTGGCAGATCAAAATCTAAATCCCAAAAAACGAGTTGCTACTCAGCTTGTTAGGCTGGAAAAGAAAATTCTACAAGCATGCTTGCAGGCAACTGTGGATTTAATAAACCTGTTGCCTGATCACAGTGTCTCTCCTTGTCCTGCTCCATATGCCCCTTCATTGAAGTGAAAGGTATTGTAGTTTATTTATTTATTATTGTTAAGGCACAATTTAGAATAAACTTTATTATGTGTAGTTTTGTTGAATAACATGAGTACATCACATTATGAAAAAAGAACATGGAGTAAATTTTTAATTTGTAGCTATAGTAAATAAATGAAAGAATATATGTATCATGTTCATTTATGAAAATGACATGTTGTACTTCCTCCATTTCTCAATATTTATTAATAATGTATATAAATAATTTTCATTATTTTTAGTTGTTAAGTTGATCTCAATATTTATTTTTCAAAAAATAATTTTTTTACAATTTTTTTAATAAAGCATAAGTAAAGAAATTAATGGTCAAAGTTGTGCGTTGACAAACGTGTATAGTCAATTGGTGCAAATATTAAGAAACGGAAGTATTACATATGCACTCGTGTTTTTCGAGGCACAATATTCACTCTTTTACATAGTCTTCTAATTGGATTCAGGATATAAAAATTGTATCAATTTAATATTTGTGTCTTGTAATATTCTCTCCTCAAAGGGTGTCCTGTCACATGCAGTACCATAAGATTTCCTTGTGGCTGTAAGAGGAAGCGTTGGAATCTTTTCTTGTACATGGTGATATCAAATTATGAGGTCAGTATACGCACTTTTGCATGATTTGATGATTAGTTGTTGTTGTTGTTTTATTTATTTTATTTTATTTTATTTTAATTATTTATTTATTGTTGGGTATGAGGCTCGATATGACCAAGCCTTTTCTGTGGACATTCTTTGCTGAATTCAGGCTATGTTACTAATTGAATTCCATCTTTGTTTGGTAATGAATGTATTACAATATTACATGGGAACTTATACTCTTTTTAACATGATATGATAGTTTCATTAAATTCTGGAGTCAACATTTATCTATTTCTCGCTCTTCATTGGTGTGTGGGGTAAGGGGGAAGGGAAAGGGAGGGGGTGGGTGGGGAAGTCGGGGTATTGGTTAGGGCTACAGGGTATATTTGTGAATGAAATTCAATGAGTTTTACTGTTTGGACATGCATTTAGTGTCTGTGTAGTGGTGGAAAGGGGGAGGACAAACAGAGTTTTGAGGGATTAAGGGTTGGGGGTTGTTTGGGAAAAAAGGTAGAGCAGTTGGTAATTTCAGGTTACGTTTAATGATGTAGCATAATGATACTGGGTACTGATAATTAGCAGCAGCTCATACATTGTGTAACTGTGGAGTGGATGGTTTGACTACTGGCACCTTGCACTGAGAGTCACAGTCACCCTCCTAATTGTTCATTGGTTTCATTTCCTGACTTGCAACTCTGACTAGAAGAATGTTCATAGTGAGATTTGTACACAAGTCATTTTCAAGAATGTTTTATGTATTTGTCTATTTGACTCATGTTAATGCTGATTCCAAATTGCGGTGAATAATCAAGAGTCTTGTTTGACTACATTGTACTTAATTCTATAGAAAAAAAATATAAACCTCTTGCAATATGGATGTCTAACAAGGTCTACAATTACTTATTTGGTCATTCAGTAGTAATATCATCAAAGTCTGTGTGTACATCTGTTTTCCCTGTACTCGTCTTAGTTGGGAGACTTCTTAAGGGTGCTATAGTCGACCTTGCGTTACGAGTTTCATTTAAAATGTTTTTTTTGCATCTAACTGTTTGGTTTCGAACTGTTAATGTCTTCTGTGGCCTGCAGGTGTCCCGAAGAGAATGTGCACCATGTATTTCTGGTGTATATGGTGGTGGTATGGCAGAAGTAAATATGCAATTAAGATGTAAAGTTGCTATAATTCTGTCTCTATTGTTCCTCGCTCATCATATACAAAATAGATTAACTTTAGAACCCCTTGCGCCAATCTAGCTCTACTATCTTTTATCTACACTGTAATTTTTTAACAAATCTATGATGTAAGATTTGTTTACCAAATTGATGTAGAGGAATAATATGATGGGTGTTTTGAATCCTTGTGTTTTAGAGTATTCAAAGGGCCTTTCCATCTAAAAAAACAAATTAAGTAGCTTCAGTAATCATTAGTAACAATTGATTATGCAGGTTAAGGTTATTTTATGACATTTGAGATATATTTTCTACAGTAATGTTGATAAATTTCAATATTTGTGATATAAACTTCTTATTGTACCCTGTCAGAAGAACTGAGTTTTATTGACAAGTCACCACAGGTGAAGAAAAGGCATCATTTCTTTTTTATTATATATATATATATATATATATATATATATATATATATATATATATATAAGGAACCCTCTTGTCAAAAAAGGAGGACCCTGATCATACCTTAACCTAAGCGGTTTTTTTGGTCCGTATGTACAAGTCAGACACTTTGAGAGTGAGGTAAGCGTAAAGGATCCCCACCTTCAAAGTGTGTAGTGGGGAATGGAGATTGAACCCCCAACCTCGGGTTGGAAGGTGCAATTTTTCCCGTTAGATCAAGCTTAGCTTGGTTAGAAAAGGTATAAATGCTTAAAAATCTTTTATATGAGGTTTATCAATGAATATACAAATCTCGTCACAGTAATATATGTTCACACTAACAAATGATGTTTAGGGATCTTGTATGTAAAAATAGGAATTGTGTCAATTCATTCACATTCTTTAGAATGGGTAGCACCATATGCGGTGGAACATTATAGAGCTTGGGATTATGGAATGGTTCATAATATTATGTCATTTCTGTCTGATAGTAAAACTACATTATTTTGGAAACTCATAAAGTTTCAAATTTATGCTTTTAGAAGAATTTATGAATTAAATATATGTAAAGGAATTGTGATCAAGTTCGAGTGCAATGTGCGAATATCAAAGTAATTAAAGGAAATGTAAGTCCTCATATCCTATTTGTGTCTAGCAGAAAAGAGTAAGGGATCCTATTAAAGCAAGAGCATATGGATTCTTCTGTATTGTTCAATAATGCAATTAGTTCTTAGCAGTAAAGGATGAACCCCCCCAGTCATGATCCATGTAGGAAATACAACTATAGTTTCTCCAAAATAGTTAAAAGTTCATTTAAATGGAGTATCTAATGGTGAATTAGTCGATTATATTGAACAAGTTAAAGCTGGACAATTCTTATCCTTAGAATGAAAAGAGCACCTGTTTGAAATCTTTGTAACATGGTAAGATTCCTATGGAGACAAATGTGTCCAAGAATTCTGTATAAAGGAAGGAATCACCGAACACCCTATATATGATAGCTATTTGAACAACAAAGATAGTGAAAGTGGCCTACAAGAAATGATGATGGATGAAATGGTGGAAGACTAAGCCCCACAGTAGCAATCAATGGGCAAACCTTTTACTATAGCCACATTAAAATGATTTCACTATTCACTTTGTAAAAGGAATGGATGAAATGAATTTGCTAAGTCAGGCAAAGAGTCAAAGGCAGGCTTAAAGTGAGTTTGCTAGTCTTTTTGAAAATCTGAGAAAGTCTTTTAGAGAAAAACCTCACCTTAAGAGAAAGATTGGTTTAACATTTCTCTTAAAGTAGAGAAAAACTATAATTATTGCCATGTCTGTTTAGGTTTTCAATTAGAGTGTTGTAATATATAAGTGTTGTAATCTTTTCAAGTTAAATTAAATAAAGATTTCTTTTAGAAGGGAACATTATCCTCTCTAACATTATGTCTCAAATAAATTATTTTTCTATTTAAAAGTTCATCATAAACACAATATAAATTGTTTAATTAGATATTACGGTCTAAATTAGGAAACGAATTAGATTTGTGAACATGGTTGAGGTTAGTTACCTTGGTAAAGATGGAATTTGTGAACCATCACATTTGTCGGCATTTGGTAGTTGGTTATAAAAGGGTGCCCAGTTCCTAGTAGGGGTTTATCATTCCCCTCTTAGATAGAAATGTTGTGAAGAATAATTTGGTGCTGCAAACAAAATGAGAGAGAAAACATGTGTATGGATAACAGAAATGAAGTAGAATTGTTAATTGCACAAAATATTAAAGAAGCATAATTGTACATTTTCAGTCCACATTCACATTTAAAAAGAAGCGACAGTAAGCCAGGACAGGGCAATGACTTTTATGTTCATCTAAAACAATGCCAAATACAATCAATTAACTTAATGTTCGTTTGGCATCATTGTGGTTTTCTGTTTTTTTTTTTTTTTCATACTCATGATATATGTCATTTAATGAAACAAAAATTAGTCAAACTAATTAAAATCATGATACTTTTGAAAACTGACAACAAAAAAGTGGAAACACCTTTTTCTTGTTTCCTGTTTTCTTGTTTCTTCTTCTTGTGACAACAAAAAAAGCTGAAAACAAAAAACAATGCCAAACAAGCCCTTAGCTATCATTGCCGAATTTTCAGCTAGCAATGCATAGTTGCTGCTAGGAAAAAAAATCGACAACTTTGCCATTTCAGAATGGAAAGCTACCTAAACTGCAATACATCAACCCCATAATAGAGTTGAAATATTTAGCGAACTCTCAAGGACTGCTTTCACCGCCAGAAAACCATTGCCAAACACCCCGTGAACCTTGTCTCTGTACTGCTGTATTGTGCTCAACCTGCTCAGTGAAGAATTTTTCTTTTCTTAGTGATTGCACTTCAGCCTCTACAGAAGGGAGTGATTCCAACATGCCTTGTAATTCTGCTGTCTGTGCCTGGTAGACATTTACCGGAACAAAAAGAATTCAGTAAGATCAACTATGCGTTTAGAAAGCATGTTCAGTAGATATAGAATAGTTGCAGCCTTTGCAGGTTGTACCTCTAACTTGAAACATCTTGATCTCTCTGATATCAACTGACCTTGAACAGAAGCAAGTTCCTAAAGAAAGAATATGTCCTTTTCAAATAAAATTCACAAGTTGCAGCATTGGCACCATATAAGAATTGATAAATCTGCATACCTTGGATAATTCTTCATGGTTACTGTTAATTTCATCAATCTTTCCCTTCAGCTTAGAGTTTTCTTCTCTAACTTCAGCAAGTGACAATTCCAAGAGTCTTTTCGCATCTTTAACACTAGTTGTACCAGAAAAACCATCCTGCTTTTGACCTGCACCTTCTACTTCAGTGTTCTCTGTCTTGGTTGAATCCAACTGCTTCCCTGAACCGATAGAATAAGCTGCAGCAACGGATGCTGCTGCTGCAGCTGCGGCAGGGGACAGGTACATCTTAGGACGTGCAGAGTCGTTCAGTTTAGGTCTCATAACAAGTACCTAATAATAAAAGGTAGAAATAGCGGACTGTCAGCCAGCTTATGTCTTATTTCTAGACAAGAAATTTTGAATCTAGAGTATCAATAAAGGCTTCTTAGATTTAACCTTCATCCAAAAGTTCGTTTACCAAATCACAACACTGGAAATAGGATATCCAAATGAAAGTGAAAGTATTGAGCATCAATTAAATCATTGGAAGGAGTAATGCATAAAAGTTCAAAAAAATTAGATGCATGGTTCATATGCTGTACATAGTGCACTCTATGCATGCTCCTCATAAAATTTAGATGTCAGCCTCATATTTCTTAGATTTCATTCAAACCAATTTGAATACAAACATCATTTTTGTGAGATTTTCATGAATCTTCTACCAAAAATAAGTATTTATGTGTTCACTAAATCGAGGTTTTACTCTCTCCAATCTAGAAAGTAATGGGTTATTTGAACCGTTCTTGAGGGTTATTGGCCGGAATTATAAAGGTTGAAACTCATTCATGACAAGTTCAAAACACTGAGTTAAATAAATAGGATTACAAAGTCTCTACATACCTCATTGTTATAATTTCCATTATATCCACCAAAAGCAACTAAATATTGGTCCCTGTGAATGTGAGCTAAGCAGATGCTGATTCCCTGCTCAGAAGAAAGTAACAATTATTATCCAGTTTCATTCATTCATTAAACAGAATAAAGCACAAAATATCTCATATTCAAAGGTGATGTCTCCTTAAGTTACACAAATAGTTTTACGCCACCCACCAGCCACCGCAAAGTTGTAGAAATATAACAAAAAGACAAATGTTAGGATCGGAGTGCTGCTGCGATTTTCAATAAAAAAAATTATATGATATTGCCTACCATACAATGAGTAATAAACTTCGTAAAATCTCTCTATATAAAAAGTCTATTGGTAAGTTTGATATAACTCTGCATAATATCATCTATCTGGTCAAAGACAAATCAGAAGATTTGCAGTCATAGATTAGTTTTATACTCAACACTTATCTTAATCATTGTGCCACTACATGTTAAAAGGACAATATGTGACAAAGGTTGTACTCCCTCCTTTTTTTTTTCCTTTTAAGTGTTACATTTTTTTTATTTAAACAAGGGCGCTTTTTATTCTTTATTTATTTTATTTTGTTAAGTGTTACACTTCTGTTTTTTATATTATTTTTCTCCTCTCATGGTTCCCACACAAGCGCACACATACCTAACACTACCCTTTTTTTTAATTTTTTTATTTTTTTTAATTTTTTTATTTCTACCCTTTGACATCCCTTACTGTACAATAAGGAATATTTGCCAATTACAACCAGTAAAAGTACCAATTTTACGGGTTACAACCATCAAAGTTTATTTTTGCAAATTACAACAAAAAGTCACCAAACATTTTAAACTACAACCAAAATCTGATTTTCGGCCACTATTACCGGAATATAATGTCATTAATCATTTATTGATATAAAAATAAACCCCCAGCAAATACTAGTTTGGAATCATTTATTCCATTAAAAGTGGCCGAAAATCAGATTATGGTTGTAATTTGCGAAAATAAACTTTGATGGTTGTAACTCGCAAATTTTCTATACAATAATTCAATAATCTATTACCTCTACCACTGTCTTTATTTATAATTGTTTAATACCCCAACTACCTCACTTATATCTTATTATATTAAAGTCAATTAAATTACCTACAACTATATACTGGTCAAAGTGTAACACTTACCAACAAAAAAACACACACAGGGATACCAAGTTATCATGGGAGGATCTAAGAAAAAGAGAACACTTTAAAGTGGATAAGGGGAAAAAAAAAATAAAGGTAATTGTTTTTCCTTCAATCATTCAAAATTGTATGGATTTTCTCATATCAATTAATGTAGCCAATTTAATTGATACTTATCACAAGATTGGATTCTAGATGTTGAACCAAGAAAAGCTGAAAAACAATGTAATATATAAGGGGGAAAAAAAAAAAAAGAAGCCTAATGGTAGGAACTGATTGACATTCACCACACTTGTCAAAATGCCTATTATTTAGAAACCAAGAGGGCATTTTACCCACAATGTATGTGATCTGTGGTCATGGTATTCTCCAAATTATGTCCATAATTCTATTTAATTATGTATCCCAACAGAATTTTACCCTTACATAATAACTAAGAGATGTACAAGTGTATGAGGTGTCATTTACTTGTATAACAAAACCCCAACTGAACTATCAATTGCCAGACGCTCCTGCTCATGGGCAATCACCCTAGCCATACGAGGACTTTGGTGCACTCAGGAGCCTCCACCACTCATTGAACCTTGCTGCTAAGCCATACACCTTGATGCCAAGGATGTAATTAATCTTATGTTTTTATCCTAAAAAGTGAGACTTCTAAGCCCCTAATTCTGCCCTTAATACGAGACTGGGCAATGGTAATAATAATCATTGTAGCAAGGTAATCCAAGAAGTATCTAAAATTCTAACTACTCACTATATCACAGAGCTTTCAACAAACAATTGCAACAATACAAGGATAGTAAAAATCAACAACACAAATAGGCAAAGAAATCAGACCTCACTGGCAAGTGGATCTCTTGGTTTCACCGAAGTTACCACTGACCAAACAAGCTTGGTCATATCTAAGACTAGTGTATCGAGGGCTCCTAATAAAACAACCATAAAATTCAATAATAAGTGCCACTAACTCCTTGCAAAACTAAGGGAGGTAACATTTAGAAAATCGTAAAGTCGAAAACCATAGACAGGTTGTGTATTTACCGCTTTTATTGTCTCCGCCACCAACTATATACCAGTTTCCATGCACCGTAATACCAGAATGTCCAGCTCGGGGAGATACATAATCACCTCGAGTCTCAGGTTGAGACCACTCCATCTACACAACAGGAAGAACCAAAATTCATTTAACAACTTAAATATAAGTAAGAATATAATGGGTTAATGAACAGACTTCACAGGTTTTTCAGATTTATCTATTTCTCATTGAAAATACATTATACAATCATCTAACACAACTTTGAACATTACCAAAAAAAAAAAAAAAACAGTACTCCTGTTTCAGTATTCTCCATTTTGCATTATTGGTTGTTACTAAATTACTCACCCCATTTTATCCAAATTACAGTTGAGCCACACAAAAAAAATACTATTCGATCCTTCCTTTACACATTACCTCACCAACCCTACTCTCTCTCCTAAAAGTAAACTAATAAACAGATATGAAAAAAAATCATCTATCAACACCACTACCCACATGATGGGCCCACCTTATACTCCCTCCATAACCTATGAGCCCAAACAAGGTATTCCAATGGTAGAGAGGATGGAAGGTTCTTTCTCCCATTAGCAATTGCAGGCTGCTGATCTTGATAGAACCAAGCATGTCCTCAGCATTTAGCAGAAACTTGAATTGGTGTTCAGAATGAGGAACAATCTTTGTAAATGTAATTTAGCATGCAATAGTCTCTATCATGATTCTATCAAATAGTTAGCACATTAAAGTAATGGCATGGTGTCAATATCTGGATGTTGGTTATAACTTACTCAAGATTGCTGTTGGGAGGCAAACTACAGTTAAAATCTGATTCGGCGCAAATAATATTTCAGATCACGAACTTTGGTTGGAGGACGGGAGTCTTAATCTCCCTTGATGGTCAGATTTCCTAGCTAATCTTATTTGTTGAGCGTACCATCCTACTAGTTCTCTTTCTAACATAGGAGTTCCTCTTAAGAACAAGATAGACAAATTAATAAGAGACTTCCTGTTGTCAGGGTTGTGATACTAGGGGAAATCATCTTTATCTGCCCAAAGTTTAGGGAGGCTTAGGTCTCCAAGACTTGGTCTATGATAGACTCACTTAATCCACACAAGAAGCAGCCACTAATGAGAGTCTATACAAGAAGGGGGAAGCACCATGGGCCACAAGATCAAGGTGACAGGCAGCATGAAAGCAAATGATCAACAGTGGAAGAAGACAAACAAGTTTCATAGAAACACTTGCGGAAGTGGTAGCAAGAAAGAAAGACTGATTCTCTGATGGAAGTAAAAGACAAACTCTAATTAATACTAGAATGCTTTATGCTGTAATATATAATGAAAGAGAACGTTAGTAAGAAGGCATGTGTGTATTGAGATATTTGAATTGAGATTGGTAACCTAAAGTTACTTGTAGAGAATAATAGCCTCAAGCTATTCTTTGTAAACCTTTTACCTTAATTATTTAGAAAAATCAGCAAGCTTCCATCTTTATCAATTTCTTAATTGTTATTTTACATAATCAGTAAATCAGTCTATTACATGGTCTCCATGCATATAGCCATTGAATGATATGGACATGCATTTCCTTGGATCCAGATTCCCTGTGGAATCCTGATATTACTAGAACAATAAATTGTGCCAGTGTGATGCTCATCATCCAACACTTACATAGCCGAAAAATAATTACCTCTTGGATGGCTTTTGCTCTTTTTCATGTTGGTCCAATCTAAGGCTGAAAATTAAAAAAAAATTTACAGTTTCAACGAGCATAGCGAATCGTCCATATCGCAAGCTTCTCGAAGTGTAGAGGTTTGTGAGCAACCATCTATCTAGCGATGTCCCACGTGCGCGGCGAATTGTCAACATTGTGAGCTGCTTAAGGCGTAGCGGCTCACACAATAGAATTCCCAACATATCTAATGTTGACGTACTAGTCAGATACGCATTTCTATCTCTTACTCTTCTATCTGTAGAACTAATACTTTTATGCAGGTATCGGTGTAGACAAAGTAATTTAAAATTGCAGAACGTTTTAAATCATTCTCCGTCCCTATCGACTACTTTAACTGAGTTTATAGAGACGTAATTCAAGGGAGAAATGAAAAAGGGGGGGGGGGGAGGGGGGGGACAAATAATTAGATAGAAATAGGAAGTTTTCTGTGGGCCTCAATGAGTATTTTTGAGCTTCTCCAAACTAGCAACCCACACGAACACTTTCAACCACTTTGAAACCTTTTGATGAATGTAGAAAGTAAGTGAGAAAGAAAGATGGTTTAGCATTTTCAGAAGTTTGCAATATAATTGACAGGGGAAAAAAAAACAGATCTCAAAAAAATCTGCCAAAGGAGACATAATAATGGATTCCAAACAGGTTAATAAGCCCCCCAAACTATGAAACTATCTATTTACACTAAAATTGAAAATCTATGAAAATTATCACCATCCCTCTCCCAAAATAAGAAATAGGAGTAGGATGAACTGTTCACAATCTATATAGAGTGGTAAACAATAATAAGGCTTCTCCCATGCCAAAGAATCCTCCCAATGAACAATGCACTCTAAATCACCCACTATGTATATGACCAAAGTCAAAAAGAGAGAAATCCATATGAAATAAACTTCCAACAGTAAAAAAAAAAAAAAGCCTGGTTTCTGTTGGCGCTTCTCATTCATTCCATTTAGTACTGTAAGCATATGAAGTTCATCTACATCAAGCGCAAAGGGTAGAAAATGACAGGTTCAAGTAATGCTGTTAGCAGACATAATCTATCATATTTATCTTCTATTTCTGCTTTGTTCTTTTTCTCCTTTGATCTCCTTCCTCTTCTATCACCTCAAATCAGCTTAGTATACTACATATACATAACTACTATGTGCCTAAGAGAACCAAGCTCAAGAGGACAGCCATCTTCCCCACTAATATAATGATTTTAGTCATCAGATTACCAAAACCCAAGTCACCCTTCTCCATAGGAATGTGATAGATTTGGTTAAGAGAAAAATTTATCTTCTCAGGAACAACTATTCAAACACAAACATGTACATTGCTCTAAAGATAGCATCTGCATGAATAGGAATAAATAAACCAAAAACACTGCCAAAGCTTCTGTAACAAAAACAGAACACACACATACAAAGTTTAATCTTTCCATTGTAAAAGCATGTAAATTTAGCATCAAGTTCAATCAAGTTCCAAAATGGTTTGACAGACATCTAGATTCTAGAAATCTAAGTCCCTCCATCGTTACCTATTAGATAGAAGCTTCAATGGTACATTTTGTGATTATAATTGGTCTTTGTGCAACCATATGATCCTAAATATGTAATAGCTCATGCCTTGAGAATTAAAATACTAGCAAATTATATCATATCCGTTTTAAAAAAAATAAAAAATAATCTCAAAGGACAATACTTACCGTTTCCAAGTCTAGCACGTATAAATCATTGAAGCAAGTTGAATGAGAAGATCCGCCAAATACCAGGAGGTAACGTTCAGCATGTACAGTAGCTGCATGATCATATCTTGGAGAAGGCGGATTCTGCCTATCAAAATAACAAGAAAGTGATGCACAGCTCATATGCAATCACACAAAGAGCTTAAAGAAAAGGGGAGAAGAGATACTCACGTAGCTTCAACTTTATTCCAAGTCATTGTGTCAAGGTCGAGAATATATATATCATTTAGAAGTTTCCGGTGGATATCTTCACCACCAAACACTATCAATTTTGAGCCAACCAGTGTCACCGACTCTCCTTCGCGAGCAACCTTAGCAAAAAAATACAAGGTAAAATAATTGTACGAACTTCAAAACTTGTGTAACATAGCAGGATAATAGAACAATAAAAGAAAAGAGGCGCTTTGGAAAGTGAACAAACATCAGTCAGCATATTTTAGTTACCGGAATTTCTCCAATAGTCTCCATAACACCACATTCTTGCGTCTCTAGATCCAAAATTAGTACTGCAAAATTGACACATAGAAAGTCAAATAAAGTACCTTTGACTAACAATAATAAACCAAATGAGAGTAATGAGAAAATGGCTGAACCTGTTACACAACTAGAATACTTTGAATGCCCATCAAGTAGTAGCAATTTCTGTCCCCAAACAATCTGCAAACATGACAAATAAAGCGCATAAGAAAAAATGTGTTTTACTTGGCTGGGATAATTATGGTTAGTCAATTTACCATATGGTGACCTGAGGTGGCTGGGAAGACTTGTACCAAGCTATCATTTTCAGCTGCAGATGAGGCAGCAGGAAGCTTCAGCGACGACCATGTAGTATTTGTAAAATCTAAAACCTAAAAATGCAAATGTACGTTAGAAATGTCTTTCAACTACAATCAGCAAAAACAATGACAGCTTTACTTCCAAAAGGATGGGATTAGCATTAGCCACATGAATAAGTTACTAACGTGAATAATATTTAAATATGAAATGTAACCGGATGATAACCTGAATATCTGACAAGTGACGACCGTTACGACTACCACCAGAAATGAAAAGCCTCTCCCCGGCAACAGCTGCAGCATGCTAAAAAAGACAAATTAAAATGTTATACCTTGGTTCATATGAATAATCACAACAAAATATCAAAATATTGTAATAAACAAACAAGAAAGGTAGGAGGAAGATATCCAGTACTACATCCACCAATAACACCTAATCCATTTTGACTGGGCGTATCAGCTAATACTATAACTAGTACGGAGTAGTACCTTTGATTATTTAGTTAGCAATATTACCAAAAAAAAAAAAAAAAAAAAAAAAAAAAAAAAAAAAAAAAAAATTAAGAATAATCCAACAAATTTTTTAAACAACAATCTATAAGGCAAGACATGCTATGATGCCATGCCACATGTCGCCTTCCAAAATGCAATGACTGTAATTCCTATAATCCTTTCACTCTACAAAAATGTTTCTATGATTTCAACCACCTTAAAATTATAAGATATATTGCTTATCATCTATGATATATTATTTTTGTGTCTACACACAGTCATCTACTCATCTTAACTGTTATCATCTTCAAGATAAAAGAATTAATTTCAATAATTAAAAACAACATAATTTTAAATTATTAAATAATGATTAGCATATATGCACTAACATTTAGCCATTATGTTCCAACACATTTACATGCTATTTCGTATAGCATTATTTCACAACTAACCATTAAATTTCTCTAACTTTTGGTTCATGTTGTTTTGTTGTTGTTGTTATAGTATATAAGAATTCCTTTAAAATTTCAAATACTTTATAACAACTTTAATCTCATACGTAGAATTATAATGACCCGGGACACCAAAAGTTGATTAATTTAAATGCATTCAAAATAAGTACATGAATATTGTAAAAGTCAAAACCAGTAAAGGCAACAAGGTAATATGGGACTAAGGGAGTACAATTTTTAACTACAAGAAAAAACTTATCATATAAGAAAAATGTAACACTAATGCTAAAACATTATTGAAACAAAAGTTTTCAATGAAAGCCATGCCTATATCTCCATAATGGTCTTATAATTTGGATTACAACCATTATGCTGGCTACTTTAGAAAAGGAATTCGTGCTACAAAAGTTCCTCTGTTTCTTATTAATTGCAACACTTACCATTTTCATCCATTTTTTATTGCAACACTTCCTTATTTGGTAAGGGTCTACTACTATACTATGTTTCTCTCTTGCTAACGCTACTTGCACTACTTTTTTTTTATTATTATAATTTCTTTCTTTCGCTTACTAACAATTATATATACCCCACCAACTGTACTTTATGTTATACCCACCCCCCCAAAAAAAAAAAATTTGGTCCCCTCCCTATAGTTTTTAGTAAACTTTGCGCTAAGTCTAGTGTCACAATTAATTAGAAAAAGGAGTACAAGTTTTCACAAAATAACACATGGAAAGACATATATGCTACAAGCAAGTATGACTTAAGTTAATGGCATTGACATAAACCCCATCTTTTCCATTACAAGTAAAGTTCCAAATCCAATAACCTTGATTGATTAAACTGAACCAGAATTCTTTAAAAAAAAACAATACCATTCAAGCCAAAAGAAAGCAATCTCAACTCAATTCACCCAAAGTCAAATATCTTTCTACCTTTAATGATATTGCTTAAAATGCAGAAGAATTTAAACAAACAAAAACAATCAATGATCACAACCTTATAGCGACCCGGAGGTCGACGACCGGCAACAGGAACTGTCACCCATTGATCATGGAGCAAATTGGAGAACCAAGTTCCAACATCAACATCCTGATCTCCATTATCCATATCAACTGCTTCAGAATCGCAAATTATTAGTTCATATAACATAGCATTTCTCTATTGCCAAAAACAGATCCAATAAAATCAAAATCGAACAATTTCCAATCAATAATTCACAGGCCCGTCCCTGAGGCAGGGCAGGAGGGAAAAGAGATCTAATTTCATATTCAATTATCTCGAAAAATACATAATTTTAGGGATATTTGATTCAATATTCAAATTAGGCACATAATTTTGGTTATGATGTTTCATAATCTAAGAATTTAGAACCAATAGTTGAGATTTACGAACCCTAAACTTAAAGCACTGATAATTAAATTAGATTAGATCAAATATAAACTCTAGATTGTGAAATTGATATGATGATAACAACAACAAACAACTTACCTTAGAAGCTGCTTCAATAGGGATACAAGAATGCGCTTCAACGGAGAACGTCAACTGCGCTTCAATGGAGAACGTTGAGTTCGAACCTCCTATTCTTATTTTTGTGCATTGACTTTTAATTTTCCACGTACTTTTTTTTTGGACGTAATTTTCTACGTACTTTATACAGTATACTTCTTTGTTTAATTTAGGGGTGAGCAAAGACTCAGGGTACCCGGTATCGGACCCGGAACTGATTAGGATCCGTCGGGTCCGGACCCAGAACTGGTCTCACCGGTTCCGGGACCGGACCAAAATGTCGGTCCCGATTATAACCGATTCCGGGACCGAGTCCTGAAATTTCGGACCCGGTACCCACTGGTACCCGGTTCAGTTATAAATTTAAGTTTTTTTAAGCCCATATATATAAACTTATACAAACCTAAAATGCAAACCCTAACATAAAACCAGCCGCCTCCTTCCTTTATCCTCTGATCCTCTTTGCTTTCTCTCTCCTCTTTCCCTTCTCTTCATCTTCTTCTCTATTTCTCTATCTTCTTCTCTAATTCTCTATCTTCTTCCACCCTTTCTCATCATCTTATTCTTCCACCCGGTCGAGCTATATGTCTCTTTGTTTTAGTGAGTTGCAGCCATCATTCTCTCTGTCCCCTTTTGGAAACTCAATTCCAAAAAATTTGGTCCAACAATAATGATCAAAGGGCAAAGGGTGTTAATGTTCGTCAACTAGTAAACATGTTCACGCCTCCCTGCAAGCCATAAAGGTTGATTTCATATATGTATTGGTTGGACTTTAGATCTAATTTTTCATCTCAATATTCTGGAATTTTTCTATGATTTCAAGGTTTTTTTTTTTTTTTTTAATGGCTAGAAACGCAACATATCAAACCGGGTACCTCGGTTTTGGAACCAGTTCCCAGCGTTTCGGTTCCGAATCTCAAATGTTGGGACCCGGTTGTTACCAGTTCCGGGTCCAGTTTCAAAATCTTAGACCCGGTACTAACCGGTTTCGGGACCAGGTCTTTAGTTTTACATCGGGTACTCGGTAGTGCTCACCCCTAGTTTTTTTTTTTGTAATTATTATTATTATTCAAATGTAATACTCTTTCCGTCCCTTTATTAAAAACCTGTATTTTTTTTTTGACAAATCAAAATTAAAGACTTATTTCTATTTTCAGATTGTACTATTTGAAAATATTCTCTACATTTTGATGAGTTGTCATCACTTTTTTGTACTAATAATGACTTTTTACATCAATTTTCAACACTTTCTTTCTCCCTCTCTTCAATTATTCCCAACCACTTTTTTTTATCAATCTCAAACCCCACATTCACTTATGTACTTCTACCACCTTTCTTAATTTTCGTGAAATAAAACCAAAATAGGTCTTTAATAAAGAGACGAAAGGAGTACTTTTTTGTTAGTTGTAATAAAAAAATTAGATATAAATTACTAGTGTGCTAAACCCTGTTATCTTCAGTTTATTTAAGTTAAACTGAAATTTAATTGTTTTTAGTGAGGTGAAATTATTTTTGTTAAACCGAACTTATTTATACTAACTAGGGAGTTCTCCACACGTGTTGCGCGTGTGCTAGTGGTGTCGTAGCTAAGTTATTTCTTATTCGGTTATCACTTGTTTAGAAAATATGTAGTTAAGTTATACATAGTATAAGTTTAAGTTTTTGTAAATATAGACATATGGGTGAGGAGTGATGGAAAATTGTAAATGATTGAGTGTAACACCCTAAAATTTCCTTTCCTTTAAAAGACCTGTTTTGCTCTTTTAAAGTAAGAAATAGGAAAATCTAAGACAATACCACCTCCTTGAAAACGACTTAGGTAATTATTAAAGACACACAACGGAAGACTCACTTAAAAAAAACCATTCAAAACAAGTTAACTCAAAAAGTCAAACCAATGAAAGTAAAGTCTAACCAAAGCCAAACGAAATTAACTTACAACTTGGACCATTATAGGCCCTTATCATAACCCAAAACAAATATAAAACCTTTGTGTTAGTCTCACAAGCAATTATATAACAATCAAAGCAAATAAAACACATCGTATTCTTATGGAAACTAAACAGGATTCGCTCTTCACTCATGTCCATCATGAATATGGTTCATCACTTGAAAAACTTCTCTTTACTTTGTCCTTACTACTCGCCATTAGAAATGGGTCGTTGTAGGACAAAGATAAAGATAAGGTCAAACAAACATACAAACACACAATCAACAATGCTAAGTACAGAAGCGTTAACAGTACACACTAACATGCTTTCATCCTATCAACACACAACTTATTATGTTACGCCTGTTTCAAGCATACAACATACCGTACAACCAACCAATAAATAAATGAATTGCTTATTTAATTTGATTACGCATCGACCGGGTTTCCCACCAAACCCCTACCCCAAATAATTTGAGGTAAACTACATCGGAAGCTAACCGGGTAGGCAAATGTCACATGAAAGTGACGAACATCCTGCGCATAAAATAATAGAAGGAAAATACGGCGTCCTGTACTCCCAATAGAAGTTATGGTTAAATATAAAACCCCATAACTCCCCTCATATGTTCATACTCAAGGTATATACGTTCCAAGAGTTTTGGTGCATAATCTCTTTCACTTTACGTTGTTTACATATTTTAAACTTGGTAATGACTCTCAATCCACAACACAATCAATCATTATAATTCATTCAAGCAATCAAACATACAGTTTAATTCTTGAATAATTAGTGACCACATTAATTTAATATTGAACCCTTTTTAGACTACCTCGGCGTTTAATAACACCTTCAGTGCATAAAGCACCGCAAAATCCTATCCTTCGGTGTTTAGAACACCTTAAGTGCACTAGGCACCGCAATATATTTTATTCCTGTGTACTAAGACACTTAATAGCTCAATTCCCATGCTTAAAGAATCAATAAAAATGATATAAACCATCATAAAATTCCCTTTTATATTCAAAACCAAATTAAATATTTAGTTTAATTAAACATTCTCTCAACCATGCCAATAATAAAAATGTGGTCCATAATCAACATGTCAACATAATTAATTCCAATCAATAATTCACCTCAAATAATTCATACTTCACAAATCAATCACCAAAATCAATCTAATCAACAATTCCAACCAATACCTATCATGATACTACCTTGGAATTAATTAAACAAAGTCTAGCATGCTACTACACACTTAAATAATTACCGAGTACGCGAACGTACCTCGAATATGATCTCAAAATCGCCGCGACTACACAAAATCACTCGCTTGGAAGTCTTCTTCATCCCAAAATTACAAAGAGACATTAATAACTATTCATAATAAATTTCTAGCAATAACTACTACATTTTTTACCAAATGCAATGGCCTAATAAAGGCTATTACAACAATATTTAAATTACCGTTGTAATAGAGTAGGCTATTGTCACGGATTTAACACTAATTTTCTTAGAGGTAGAGCTATTTCCACGGCTCTAAAGAAACGTTGCAGTAGCCTAGCTATTTTAACAAAAATGAGACCTGTTTCGGGGTTTTCTGATGTCCTGCGGGAGAGTTACAATTCCGAGACTGGAACCGGACGCCTGTACCTGCAAAATAACGGAGACTCCTGGGAGCTCCGCCTCCAACGGTCAAGTTAGTACCTGATTAAGGAGTAATTAATGCGGAAATTAAAGTGATTTGGTCTCTCTAGGTGAGAGTGTTTAATGTAGGTAATCTGCTTTGTTAGCGAGATCAGCCGGTTATTACTGTGTGTAATTAATGTGTTTTTTTCCGTAATGTTTCTGTTCTCCCCCTTAATGAGGATTAAGGGAGGTATTTATAACCTTGGAAAACGTGTTCATCCTAGGTTTAAGTAAACCTAGGGCCGATTGGGCTTCCCTCGGAAGTTGGGCCTGGGTGGCCGGTTTCTCCATTAGGCATGGAGTATGCCACATGTCTTGACATAACAGGTCCAAGGTGGACGAATAAGCGCGTGCCACGTGGGAAGCCCTGACTGTTCCAATTGGGGGACACTTGGCAGGACCTGATTGGTCCACGTGGCGCATTCCGATTGGTGGGAGCAAAATCCCCTAATCATTTTCCCCTCACAGGTGGCACGTGATTGGTCACGTGTTACCTGTGACAGGTGTCGCACTGTAACAGGCGACGGCCTGCTACAGGTGTCAGTCGGCGAAAGGACGAGAGATTTTCCCGCCCAAATTTTGAATTCTGAAAGTGACCCTTCGCCTTCCCACTTCGCCTATATAAGGGAGAGTTGTCTTGAGTCATTTTCACACTTTGAGAACTTTTTGAGAACATTCGGACCCCTGAACTTGCTCTGACATTTTGGACCTTTTCTGCCTACCGCCTGTTCTGACAAGCCGACTGCACAGGATTTTCAGAACTTCATCAACCATCACTCGTTCAGGTAACTCAGTTCTCTTACTCTTAATTTTCTTTTTATTTTCTGAAATGGCACCACGGAAGCACACGACACGACCTAGGTTAGTGATTAGCCGGTCACCGGGGACGGCTGAATCTAGGACTAGGAGTGCCGCCTGCCCTTTTCCGGACCCATCTTTTCCCTTTATACAAAGTCCGACTGTATCTGTGTCTTTGCAGAGCAGGATGGCTAGAACGAAAAAGACAGCTAGGATCTCAAATTCAGACGACTCCTCCCACATGGTGCCGCTTAGTGAAACATCTGACCAGGCGCCAGATGTGGAAGTGAAACAAGGCGGCCTGGATGCCGGCAATTCTGTGGGGGGAGTCATAGTGACCCCTTCCCATTTAACAGTTAACAAATCTGCTCCTTTTCAAAGAGAGGAGGCGGGCCCCTCCAGGAGAGGGGAGGAGTCGTCCTCTTCGGACTCGTCGGAGGACGATTCCGAGTCAAGCTCTTCTGGCCATGCTTCTTTGGGTACAGAAGAGAAAAACAGCCGCCTGCAAGAGGCGAGACTTTCTCACGCAGTTTAGAAGGGGGACAATTGGGCGGAACCATCCGCCTCTTACCGAGAGCTAAATACCCCCTACTACTGCACGGTACCTCGGGGCCGAATCACAGCCATGCAAGAGAAAGTGGAGAGCTTTATTGCAAACCACACCATGGGCCCCGATTTTCTAGTGTTTGTGTCAGATCCAGAAGACACAGTCGTCTGGCCGGCTGGTTCCAGTTATGATAGCGCCTGCTTTGGCTGCTACGAGGCGGCCATCAAGGCAGGGCTTCGCTTCCCATTACATCCGGCTGTTCAGCGGATTTTGGATGGGTATGAGTTGGGGTTATGGCAGTTAGCCCCAAACTCCTAGGTCAACGTACTCGGCTATGTGGCCGGGTGCGAACTGCACGGGGTGGAGCCGAGCTTCGAGGCTTTCGCCCATATGAACTATCTCAGCCGGACCCCTAAGACAGGCGGTACCGGCTGGTATCAATTGACAAGCCACAGGGGCTACCTCATGACAAGAGGTAAAGCAAACAAGTGGAAGGACTGGCGGAGCACCTTCCTCATCATTGAGAGTTCAGACATTGAGCTGTACAAGCGCTTCAATAGGTGGAACAGGAATCCGCCCCTTCTTGCAGGCGGCCGTAGCATGCCGCTTGTTCCCCCCAAGGCTAAGAAAGAGATCCTTGATAAAGGACTCTTTAAAGTAGAGTCGAGGGTCGACTCTACTTCAGGGGTACGAGAGCAAGTACCCCTGCACTACGTCCCGAGCTTCAAGTAGCTCTATGACGAGTACTTTTTGGCCGCCTGCGGCCTCAGCAGTCGGTGCTCAAGAGGTAGTCGGCCTGTCGAATACTCTGTTGTTCCATACATTTGTTGTTTATCTTTTATTAACTTTGCTGTTTGTTTTTGCAGCTGACGCCATGAGCAAAATCACCGCCTCCAAGACTGCGGCGGCCATGTTGCGGGCCTCTATTATGCAACAAGCTTCAACCGACTCCCCTAAAAAGGGGGCACCCTTGGTGAGCTCCGAACCTTTCACCCTCTTTTTGGAGTGTTTATGCATATACTGACTTTTTTCTTCTGTTTTAGACGGGTGCTCCAAGAGCTTCATCTTCCCAACAGCCGGACCCCAAGGCCCGGAAGACGACTGTTGGGAGCTCTCCTGGTTCTGCCAGGAAACAGGTGGCGGCTGAGAAGCAGCCGACCACTTCTTCTAAAACTCCAAATGGGC